CCAACCCACAGTGCAATTAAAATGGTGATTAATCATGACTATTCTTTAAAATCTAGTTAATTTGTTTTGCGTTAATGGCTTGCATTAACTGCAATTAATTGACAGCCCTAATTGCCAGTGACAGAGAATCCACCATGACCCTTGGTAAATTGCGCCAATGGTTAATTACCCTCATGGTTAAAATGTAATCTTATTTCCAGTCTGAATTTGTCTAGTTTCAATTTCCAGCCATTGCATCTTATTCGACTTTCGTCTGCTACAACGAAGAGCCCGTCATCCAATTTTTGTTCAAGTCGAGACTGTGATCACAAAATAGCAAATCGGTTTTCAGTGTCTCTGTATGTGAACTTTGGAGATGGTGCAAAACTCTGCATTAAACAAACCCTGTGACACCCTTAGCGCCAATGCAGCTGTTACTGCTCCAGGTTTCTGTGTCCCCGCTGACCTTCGTAGGGGCACCTTATTTTGTTCTGAGGCCTTGAATGTGTCGGCACAATTCACTAGTCTTTAACACGCGTGGATGTGAAGGGGTGATATTTGATAAGTCTTGTAGTGTCACTTTGCCTGGTGACATCCAAGGGCCTCGATTTGATAAATTCCTCCCATGCCCAGACCTCTCACACTGTGCACAGAGAAACCCAGAGCACGGACTCAAACTGCCAGGGCACCAACCCTCACATCTAGTGTGGTGTGATCTGGGCCCTGTGTTTTAGCTTCGTGCTCTGGATTCCTCGACTGCTGGGGCATGGACGCGTTGCCTGATACGTCCCCCTCCTCCTCCGTCGTCCGTGCAGCGTGTCCTCCTCAGGTACCAGGGAGGATGCCACCCCTCCCCCGGGGCCGTCTCTCTTTCTGGCCTGGGCACAGCACTGGGGCAGCTGCTGCGGCTTGCTGCATGGGGAAAAGAGGAGGAGCAGAGCCAGGAGGCTATGGATGTTATGCTGACCCACGCTCCGCCCTGGCAGAGGTCTCTGCTGGGCCCTGCTGAGCACCTGTGCCCAGAGAAAAATAGCATGTAATCATGCAGTTAAAGGCGGGGGCCTGCTGCATATGCCCAAGGGGGCACAACCCAGATCGCAGAGGTAAACCAACGTCCTCCAGTGCATGGGCTGGGGGGGGGAATCCAGCAGGGGCCTTGGCTTGGTCCCCACTCATTAAGCGTTTTCACCTGTGATCTGGAAGTGAGCGGTGAGCAGCGGGTGACACTAAATGGGGAGCTGTGATCAACAGTGAAGACAGAAAAAATGAGCCCGAGGGACCCAGCAAGATTAACACCGTGGGCAGAAATGGCCAAGCTGAGATGCAGCTGGGATGGATGCAGCTACCCCAGCTGGGATGGATGCAGCTACCCCAGCTGGGAGAACAAGCTAAGCCACCCCCCGTCAATGGGAGAAACCAACTTAGGAGCTGGTGCAGCTGAGAGCCGAAGCCCTTGTCTACACTAGCCTTTCCCCTTATACTTTCCCTTCGTTCCCACCACTGGGGCAGCGCCCGTGGCCTCCCGCATGGGGGCCATGGTGCCATGCAGGCTGCTCCCAGCCGGGTTAGCCGACGTGGTTAAACACCAGCGGCTGCCCCTGGAGGAGCTGAACCCGGCAGCAAAGGCAGAGCCCTAGGGGTGACAGTGGACGTCAGCGCAGACACCACCCGGAAATGCAATGGGCAGTGAAAACGGGCAATGCGACTGAGGGCTGCAGGCCCAGAGGCAGCACCTTGCCGAGCAGGGGGCAGCCCCTGAATGCACCGCCGGGCCAGGCCCAGCGTCCTCTATTGTGGGCACCACATTCCCAGAAAAATGCTGACCACTGGAGGGAATTGAGATCAGGGACTCAAGGGTGCAGGAGTTCAGTGGGTCCAGCTCAGCTAAGCAAGGGCGGACATGCTGTGGCTGTAAGAGGAGGAGAAATAGGGTCCCTGCCACAGAGAGCCTTTCTCCTGGGGAATGGACTTCCCAGGGACAGGGGCAGGAGCCCCCCAGTGCCTGGGCACAGCCCTGGAGAACGGCCCATAGGGCCTGTCCTACACTGTCCAGCTCGAATATACGTCACTTGATCCTATGCCTCTCCTCTGGCCATGGCCACACTGCCGCCCCCACCGAACCCTGGCTGCCCAGACGCACCAATGCTCCGGCCCCCAGCGTGTCGACCAGTTCTTGCACCCAGAGCTCCTGGAGCACCAGCCTGCCTCTGTGGCCATGGCTCTGTGGTGCTCCACCAGCTCCTGGGCCCACACTGCTGGCGCAGACTGGCCAGGGCACGAGCTCCGATTCCCTTGCAGACATTTGGCATCTCGCTAGCTGCTGCTAACACCATCAGAGCCGGGACTGCCCAGGCCAGGAGAGACGCGGCTGTGCAGTGCCAAGTAGCCCAGATGGGCCAAGACTTCATACAACCCCCTATTCCCCCCACACAGTGGGGCAGGGGCTAGTGCCCTCTGCTTCTCTGCCTGCCCTCCTCAGTGTCACCAGCCCAGCTGGGCAGTGCCAGCCGCCAGATGGCCCCACCAAGGCAGCTGGCACCCTGGGGCACCAGCGGAGATGGCTGCCTATCCGCCACGGGCCCCCCTCTCTCCATGCCCCCCCCCCATCCCCCTCTCTCCATGGCCCCCTGTCTCCATGCCCCCCCCAGGCCCCCTGTCTCTGCCCTGTGCAGGGGGCAGGCTAGGGGG